GGCTGAGATAATAATTTATATGTTGATATCTCTCACATTAAGATCTGAGGGTCCAGGACATTAGGATTCAAGGGTTTTAACATTTCCTTTGACATATTGCCCTAAGACATATTTACCCTGACAAGTCATATCATTCCATTTCACTGTTTAACAAACATGTGAGCTTCCTTTCATGTCTGATCCTCTACCTATTTTTACTACCTCAGTAAATTGTATTATCAACCATAAGCTGTAAAAGCCAGAAAGCTTAAAGATATTTCTAACCCCTCCATCTTCTATCTCCCTGAATATATGTCATTTACCAATTTCTGTAAATTTTTTTCCCAAAGAAACATCAAATTCTTCTATACTTTCTCCCTTCTTTTCTATCCCCATCTGAATCCAAACTACCATCACCTTCCTCTGGTCTCTTCCAATAGTGTTTTCTTTGGATGTTATGTACGTACTTTCCAATGTCAACGAAACTTAAAAGCAATAATAATCTTTTGAAAACTCCAATTTGACTACTATTTACTTAAAATTCACTAATGACTTCCATCATTCTATCAAAATGGGCAAAAGACTCCCTTTTCAACTAGTTAATTCTACCTGTCATATTGATATTGTCTCAAACATCACATCATTGACCTCTAGAGATAGGCATATCCCTAAACAAGTGTGTCAGTAGGCAAATAAGATGTTTCTCTTCCATTATAAGCTGTGTGAAAATAGATAACATGTTGCTTACTTTTCTATTCACAATATTTAAGACAATATCTGTTTGAATCAATTAGTCAAGAAATATATGTAGAAAGTGTAAATGAATCAAGGTGACCTAAAAATGTCTGACAAGATAAGACACTTTATCTTTAAAATACATATCTAAACGTAGCCTGGGTACTAAAAGGGTTGATATTTTTATAGCAAGTTTCATTTACATTAGTTAGTGATAAAACCCTCATGATAAACATCACCTGCACTCAAACTGATTCATTGATCTCAGTCTGTATCAGATTCGATGCTTAGAGAGACTTACAAGATAAATTCTGACCTTGTGAGCCTTGCAATCCAGATGGAAAGGGGACAGATTCATACACAGGAAAATTACCACACAACTCTAGGAAAGGAGTAATTAGACCTGACTGTGCAGAAATGATTTCTTATCTGACAGTTTGACAGTAGAGAAATATAGTAAAAATTTAGACAGAGAGAACATCATGTTCAGAACTATGAGACCATGCAAAAGTGTACCATGTTCTGGAAATGGAAATAGGGGTAAAATTCTAAAGGTGAAATTTTACAAAATAGTTACCAATATGATCTTTTCTTTATGTACTATGGTTTTTGTTGTTTTAAAATAGAGAAACACGTTGTTTGAGATTGTCCCTATTTTTTTTTTTAGTTCTTTTATTGGTACATTTTAGGTGTACAATTCATTTACATTTATCATTGGGTGTTTGTACCTATACATGATATATCTTGGTTCTTATTTTTTTCCCCATTACCTGTGTGCCTTTCACCCTCTCCACCCTTCCCTAGTTACATAGATTTCATTTCCATTTTTTTTCTTATCTCAT